TATATATATATATATTAAGTGTTTCAAAATAAAATTTAGAATATTTTTTACGTATTATATTACACAATGCAAACTGGACTACTGCGGAGATAAACGGGCAGTTAATTTAAAAAAAAAAAATAGCAAATAATAAATTATATTATAAAATGCTGACCTCATGGTTGCTCCGCCGTTGCCCGATGCGTCCCCGGGCCTCCTTCCCCTCCTCTTTTGTCCGTTCTTTGCAGTTTATCAGCACTCACATGGCACATATACTCGCGAAAACATGGTTAATTACGACCGCATGCGCACTAATTATTAGAATCACTAACAATTACTAAAATTCACGCGACCCTTAGTACGGCACTCTCGACGTTCGTCGCACACGACATGCGCTTTAATATATTGTGACAGGAGAACAACGCGAAAACTACGATCGCACAAAGTTATTACTCGCTCAGCGTCTGAAAATTATACGACGAAATTCACGCGTCACTGGACGACGCTATATCTATTGTTAACTAATATGCTCTCGTTTTTGAATGATTATTTTTTTGTATTAATAATTTAATAATGATAATTGATAATTTAAGTATAAATAAGTATACGAATTAAAATTGTAGTTCCTCAAAATATAATATCAGAATATATATCGTCGCTTTTGCTGACTACTTCCGTGATAGACCTCGCTCGAATAAATCATATGAATTTTCACAAATCCTCCATGTATAAACGATCCAATTTTTACTATGCGGTTAACAAATATCAAATATGTGATTAAATACGATTGTAATTAAACGAGTTGTAACATTATTCGCGATTTGAAATCGATTCATTCTGTATCCGTTTTGTGCGATGTTTTATTAATGATTAAAAATGACATTGATAATTTTATATATTCCGATATCGCGTAATATATTACAGTCGTTTGTAAATAGCTAGTTAAGACACGACGTATCCTTTCAGAAAATATATAATCAAGAATCGATACAAGTCGCGAAATTAATGCTTTGATGAAAAGCATCGATACATTTACGAGTCGTTAATCGAGATAGTCAATTAATCGCGCGGATTGATAATCTTTATTCGTAAAGAAAGATCGAGATTTGATATCTCCTAGCACTTGATACGATCGTAGTTATAGTTCGAGAGATAATGCGACGATATACGAAGCGTCGAACGCCACACTACCATCCCGTTCGAGTGTCGCGACGTGAATAACAAGGTCATGTAAACACTAGCGCGCTATACGCCATAGGTCAAGGCCAAGGCCGCATACCAATGTGTCAGTCAATTCATCGCCCCATCACTCCCTACTCCGCTACAAAATATATTTCGTGTACTATGAAATAAATTTTTGCAAAAAATACTTCGTTCCTTCAATTTCAAACCGGCTATTGACAAACTTTGATACATCACGGCTTCTCGTTATTTGAATATTTTCCGGCATTTCGTGTATTATTTCTCTCAATCTGAAAATGACGGAAAAATTTAAAACACGATGCAAGATACATATATTTAATTTCAAGCATCATTACAGAAACAATTAACGTCTGTAAAAATTGAAATGAAAAGTTTATAATTTCTATCTCTTGCCACTTCAATTCTCAATTAGAATATTGCGTGAAAACGTGATACATTAATATTTATTGATTTAATCCCTTCAATTTTTAAATAAATAAATATTAATATATCACGATTTCACGTAATTCTAATTGAGAATTAAAATGGCAAGAGATGGAAATTATAAAATTTCGTTTCATTGCAATTTTTACAATAATTGTTTGAATGTACTGTAATGATGTTTTAAATCAAATATGTCTCTTGCATCGCGCTTTAAATTTTTCATTAATACAAGTACTTACATTTTTCCGTCATTTTCAAGTTGAAAAAAATAATACGAATTGTCGGAGAGATTTAAATAACGAGAAACCGTGTATTAAAGTTCATTAATAGTTGGTTTGAAATTGAAGGAATAAAATATTGTATTCCGCGCACACATTTATTTCGTAGTATATTAAATATTTCGTAGCAAAGAGTGGGGAAAAGTATGAACGAACGAACACTGGTATGCGGGTTCGGCAGCGTTGTGTATGTATATAAGCGTGTTTATATACAGACCGTGGCCGTGGCCTTGTCATTCCTGTCGCGACACTCGAACGGGAAAGTAGTATAACGCGAGATGCTCCGTATATCGTATTATATCTCAAACACGATTTTGACTAGGAAATCAAGCGCGATCTTTCCTTATGAATAATTAGATATTACTAATTCACGCGATTAAATATCTCCTTCTATTATTGACTCGTAATATAAACATAATGTATTTTGCGCGACTAAATCTTGATTATACTACTTATAATGAATCTTGATTCTATATTTTCGGATTCTGTATTTTATATATCGCATTTTAAAACTAATCTTTAACTCGATTTTCACGTAATCAGAATGAAATTGTCAGTATCATTTTCAATCATTAAAAAATCGTCATGACTATAAAACAAATTGATCCTAAATCAAATGACGTGACAACATTTATTTACAATCGTTTTAAATCACGTATTATTATATTTATTAATCACGATATAAAAATTCCATGTTTATACATTGTTGATTTGTTAAAATGCATGTTTTACATAATATATTTGATCAAAATCTATCACGCGAGAGAGCAGTCAATAAAGCGATAGTATTTCTTTTCTTTGATATTGCATTATTTGCGAATATTTATTCTTAATTCGTATACTTATACAATATTTATTTCATACTTATAATATAAATTGATAATAATTTTCAAACAAGAGCATATATTATTTGTTAACAACAAATATAGCATAGCTGTGACAACTTACGTGTGAATTTGATCTCGCAATTTTTGAGTAAATCGTCGTTTAATGCAATCGTAGTTCTTACGTTGTTCTCTCATTGCATTATAATAAAGCGCGCGTCGCGAGCGATTAATATCAGGAGTACCTTACAAGGTGCTGCGTGATCATTATATTATATTGATAGTGCGCGATCATAATTAACCGTGATTCCGCAAATGAGTGCCGTGTGAGTGCTATCCAAAGGAACAGCAAAAACACGAACAAGAGAGGAGGAGCAGGCCCGGGGAGGCATCGGGCGACGGCGGAGCAACCGTAAGGTAAGCACTTAATAATTTATTATTTTTTATTTGTTAAATAAATTGCTCATTTATCTCCACAGTAATAATTCATTTTATAACATTGTATAATATGATGCATAAAAAATATTCCAGATTAAAATTTTGGAATACTAAATTATATTTAATAAAATATTTAAAATAATTTATATAAAATATTTTTTCAGAATAAAGTGTATAAGATTTATAATTATTTAGATTATTTATATAAAAAATTAAGTTTTTATCATGTTTCATAAAAATTTTAATTAAATCTGAAAAAATATGATTCGAAAAACATTTGTATTATTAAATATATGTTTAAAGAAAAAATAAAATTTAATAATCACTTTTTTTAATATTAATTATCTTGGACACCACTTTATATAATTCGGATAAATTTGTATTTTACAGATTAACTATTGTCTAGTATCATTCCGCTGTTGCGCATCGTACTGGTGAGTGTTGAAAATTACTCTATCTCTCTTTTAATCTTGAGATAATAGATTTATAAAATTTATATCTGTGTGTGTATATTTACACACACACACGTATACAAGCACACATTAAGTCGAGAAAAGTTAATCGACGCAATTCAGAGAATAAACGTTAAGAAAACAGCTAAGTGTTAACATTTTTATTAAGACAATAAATTAATTTCCTAAAAAAATGAAAAATATAAAACTTTTATAAAAATATCAAATTTCTCGCTAATGTCTGCGTGTATACAGCTAAAATTTGTTGGCTGTTTCCTATATGTTTTGTGCTTAAAAAATGCGTATATACTACAAAAAGCACTCTTTAAGATTCCTCACAATATAGACAAAATAGTGCGCCAACAATCAAAACCAGAAAAGTTTATCCCATAATTTTTGCTCGCGAAATTTTTACATGCGTATATATGATTAAAAATTCCTTGCAATCGTCCCTGCGTTTTATATCACACAATTATATCAACAAGTAACTTTTTAAATATTCAACGATAAAAAACTTGCTAATTGTAAGAGTCAGTGCTCAAAAAAGCTTTGTTTAAATCCGAAATACTCGTACACGCTTAAAAATATTCTTAAAAATTTGCAACTATCTTTACATTTTCATCTTGTATTTTGCATTTTCATACAAAAAATTTATTAAAGAATTTTATTTTGCATTTATCAAAAAAAGAAGTATGGTTAGTACGACTTTTAAATTTTCACTTCAAGAACGTTGCAAACTTTAACAAGATATGTCTAATCAATAATATTTTTAAGTCAAAAAATTATTGTAAAAACATTGAGCTTAATATATTTAGCTTTTTCAAAATCATTTATTTCAATCTGTTTCCTTCAACTTTTCTTTTAACTTACCGCATTAAGGAATCAATAACCATCGTAAAAATGTAAAACACGCCATTTTAAAGAAAAATAAAACATTTAGAAAAATCAAAATCGATATTATATAAAAACGAAAATGCTTAAATTAGTATTCAGTGGCAGCAAACAAGTTCAGCATTCAATGTGAACAAAAAGAAAACTTTGTGAATGATGAAAAACTGAAACGTTTTCAAAGGAGGTATCGACGTTTTGACGAAACACAGATCGATGCTAGTATATACACTTGGCTTGGTATTCTCAAGAAATCTAAAAATACTCTGGTTACGAGTTACTTCCTACGGCAGCGAAGATTCCTGGCTCTTTAATTCGTTTACCGACCATTACAAGTAAGACGAGGCGCAGTGAAACTTTTCCATTTCATTACTTCGTCTTTCTTTTTCTTTGCTATTCGCCATTCCTCTCCTTTTCTCTATCATTATTATCAACTTTATTACTTTGTCCTCTTTTGGCGGTGTACCCATAGCGAAGAGTCTGCCTTTCCACACACACACACATACACACACACACACACACACACACACACACTGTTCCAGAGTACTTCTTAACTTTGGGGTTAAATCTTTTTTTTATCAGATCGACGTCGTCTAGATCAGACAGATCTTTATCTCCTTGTTATATGGCATTTCCGTGAATCATATTTATTATTCTCATTGCAAACCACAATTGCAATACGATTTTTCAAACTTCAAGCACTTTTCTCTATCATTATTATCAACTTTATTACTTTGTCCTCTTTTGGCGGTGTACCCATAGCGAAAAGTCTGCCTTTCCACACACACACACACACATACACACACACACACACACACACAGTCTATGTTCCAGAGTACTTCTTAACTTTGGGGTTAAATCTTTTTTTTATCAGATCGACGTCGTCTAGATCAGACAGATCTTTATCTCCTTGTTATATGGCATTTCCGTGAATCATATTTATTATTCTCATTGCAAACCACAATTGCAATACGATTTTTCAAACTTCAAGCAAACAAATTAAAATATTTTATTATTTATTAAAACATTTATTATGATAAATTAAAATCTAATTTAAATTAAATTGAAATTTAATGAACGTAGCTGCTATAATAGAATAATTTAAGCTCAATCAATAGATAGCATTATATTTTGTATGAATAAGTTGGAAAATATATTTAACTTTATATATTATTATTTATATAATAATATATATAGAGTTAATATATGTATATAAACTTCTAATATTTAAATATAAACTTCTCTTTCATAATAGATAAAATAATAATATGTAAGGTTATAAAGATAATTTTTTTGCATATTTTTTAAAAAAGCTTTAGGCCAAGAAAAGAGAGCTGCGTGTTTTGTATATAACTAGAAATATAATACTATAATTTCTAGCAATGTTATATAATTTTATATTCAATGTTGACTACGGGATAGTTAGAGAATAAATCAAGAGAATAATCCCATAAAACCGAGCGTACAAGATACAGTCCGTATGTTCTGGAGAAAAGTTGTTAACAATGAACATATCTAAGCTGTAATCTAAGCCAGTCTCTCTCATATGAGGCCAAAATGAAGGATTAACGCTTATACTCGTTGTTACACGGGTAGGCGTCGGTCCGTGCACGCACTCTCACCTTGCTTAGTCGGTATATGTGAATGACGTTCTCCATAAAATATTCAAAGCGCAGCGCGATAATGGCGGTGCGTCCAAGCATATTAAACATTCAGTCACGTAGCCGGCCGGCATGGTGTCGGCCGTATACAGGTGGTGATACAACACTCGGCGGCAAAGTTTCACAACTATAGTGATATATACTGCGGTGTGAACTTTACAAAATTACACACAAGTCACTAATTTTCCCATATATATTTGCAATCTGAGATTCATCGGTTGGTCGACAACGAAAGCAATATGCGCTAGACGGTTGAGACCACAACCTTATTAATAATATCTTTATCTGTTAAAAACATAGTAAATTCTTTTATGGTAAATTATATTTTCTCTATAACGACTCTAAAGTCATACTCTCTTATAAAGAATATAAATACTTATGATCTAATTTATATTTAAATCACACATTAACTTTCAATATTATAGATTCTGTGATAAATTGAAATTCAATCTTTTGAAGCTTTATTCAAAGTCATTCGGAATTTTTTATCTTTAACATTAAATAGATTAAAAATTAATATCTCGATTTGAAAAATGAAGTAAAAAGTTTTTGCTTTCAATTTACGACTTTTATTTTCTTATAAAATCCATAAATTTACTAGAGAATTTAACAAGACATTTATTATTGTTGCTTTTTCGCTATTTGGTCTTATAGATGTTCGGATAACAATAATCGAAAGAATAATTTTATAAAGAATTATTTTATATGCATTAACCGAGAAAAGTTGCGACCAAAATTTGAATAATAAAGAAGTTAGATATTCGTTCGAGTAGCGAGTACGGCCCGGTAATGAAACTCCTGTAACAAAATTTCATACACGCGATGCTCGGTTAGACCGGGCAATCGCTTGTAAAATTACCGGCGCTTGTTAGCCGCGCAACAATCTTGTTAAACAAAGGATAAATTTTTCAACGGATCCAATTAACCGCGAATGTATTATGCAAATAATTTCTCTACGCGTCAACAAGAGAAAAAAAAATTACCCTCTGAATTTAAATAATTTAGTCAAAAAGAGATTAAATATTCCATTACGTTGTTACGTCTCCTCCATCGTTACGGTGTAGTCTCCGCCGTGGAGCAAGTTCACGCGATAATTCAACTCTCGCAACAAAGTTTCATCGTGCACGCTATTTCCCGCACGGCACAGAGGCTCTCCAAAATTGCGCTCTATTCGACTGCACTGTTAGACGCTTATAATTTAAGTACTGATCGTGGATCTCGAAATAAAAACAAAAAAAAAACAAAAAGAAAATGAGATGGCAACCGGATAGAAATATCGTGTAAGTAGCGGGCGGTAGTATTCCTAACGAGCTAGATATACCGTAGTAATTAGACGCGGACTCTTTCTCTCTCTCTCTCTTTTTTGCTCTCTCTTTCTCGCTGAGTACTTCTTTTTTCTCCACCGCGAGCGATAACCATGAGCATAACCATTAGAATCTGTTACGTTCAACGTGGATACCATTAGGTCGCACAGAACTGAACCGAGTTCCTGTGCCTCGGAAGAATAATAATTTCGCACACGCGTTAAAGATAATAAAAGTATGAACTCTCGAGGAACGAATCGTATTCGTTTATTCTTTGCGATGTTAAAAAGTACACCGGCAGGAATGATATTTAAATATCAAAATCTAGAGCGTATCAAGAAGGTGTAATACACAAATTTTTTTCAAGAGAGAGAGAGAGAAAGAGAAAATTGTGCTGTTTAATAAATCTTGTATTTTTTTTCTTGCTATTTTGTGCTTGGAAGCGTGTAGCCGAATAATCGGCTTGTTCGTACCATAATTCGATCTTGGAATGGCAATTTTCTGCGGAAGAAATGTGCAATTTTCAGGATAACGTACCGTAGAGCGCGTGTTATAACGGCTGAAAAAGTTACCGTGTTCACCGTGGCGGTGCAAATATTTCGCAACTGACCTATAGATAGCGAGGTCAAATCGTTATCGTTACATTGTGTAACAGCGCGCGTTTCGCTCAGTTCGCGATCGCGAGTTATGTCGGATGAGCTTTTTAACGCCTTCTCGATACGGTGGATCGTTAATCCATCGTGTAAGCGAAACGAATGTCCGACAGAGGAGCGGATTTATGGACCGATTAATTCTCTCTCTCTCTCTGTCTCTTCCGTCCGGTTTCTAATTCGGGACACGTTGATGACGCATAACCGATGTACACCTTAGTGCCTCGATTTATGAGACGGGAGACTAGTTATAAAGATTCTAGCGTAGATTAACTAACGAAAGACAGGTTATATAAAATAAACGCGCAAAATCTGTTAATATCCTTTATACGGAGATGGTTTACGACGAGCGAGATTATGTGTAAAATTAAATAAAAGACTAATAAAAATGTAATACTGCGAAAATATATTATAAATATATTTACAAATTTATTTGTAAATATTATACATGTGAAAATTATCTTTAGCTAAACATACAT